GTGGGAACACACTCATAAAGAAGACATTCTGCTAATGTAAAGCTTGGTGGAGGGGAACAGCACAAAATGTGGGATGGGAGTGCTTGCAGTGTACTGAGATGTGGGCAGTGCCACCCACAAAGGCTATGGGGGTCTAAGCCCAACAGTGAGCATTGCTTTTTATAAGTTCTGCAGTGCAGGCATTCAGCCCAGCTCCTGACCAGGAGGACTGAGCCAGGCCTGGGTGCTGTGCAACACAGGCTCTGGTGTCCTGCAGTGTTCCTGTGCCTAGAGTGCAGCCTAGGCAATGCTGAGCATTGATCCAGGCCTGTGTAAATGGCAACATAAATACAGGAACCAAATCTTTGCTAAGATTTTCACCAATCCACCCCCACAAAAAAAAATTCTATCAACTCTGACATTTACAATAGACATTATCTGCTCTGTGACATTTGGTCTTATAAACAGATGTTGACCAAATTTCCATTTGTAGCTCACCTCACTGCCACAGATGAGAGGATGCCCACAGCTGACCCTTGTCTCTAAATAGCAGAGTGCCCACCCCTCCCTCCCAGCCACAGGGTGCTGACAAAGGACTGAGCCCCCAGGAAAATACATCAACATCACCAGCAGCCTGTGGCAGAGCAGGGAACCAGAGGAGGGTCACCTGCAGCCCAGTTAATGACTGTTAATGATTCTTTGATCCTGAAGCCAGGTGACAGCAGTGACACAACACTGCTGCCACTGATATCCAGGCACTGCTTGAAATGGAATCAGGGCAAAGGTTTCCTAATTCCTTTGTGTTCAAGTCAGCTAAAGCAGCATTAGCAGGGTTTGCATCTGTATTAGCCTGGGGGTGGATGAACATAAACAACTTAACCTTGTGCTGGGCTCCACATCAGTGTGTAAGGGAGAGATTCGTGGAAAACTCAGAGGCTAAGGCAGGGGCAGAGGGTTTGCCCAGTGTTCCCCAACTCCTTCATCCCTCGTGAGGCTCTAAATGGCAGCACCTGCTTCAGTGAAACTGCATTTCTCAAGGAGGAGCATCAGGACGATTTGTCACGAGCAGCACCTGTTCTGCCCAGCTTCATGCTGATAAAGAGAGCTCTTCTCAAACAGCAGGTTGTGTGGTGGGCTGGTGTATCTAGCTCTGAGCTGGAAGCTCTCAATTAGAGCTTGGTCTGTTGCTTTCTCCTGTCAGCATTCTGGCTGCTACTGGAGCACACTGTGAGCAGAAGCTGTATTAACCTAGGGTTAAAAGAGAGAGGTGAGTGAAGTTCTGTTAGGTAATGAATTTTTTGTAGTTGGGTGTATGGGTTGGTCTGGGGGTACTAACTGAAGGGAAGCAAAACACCTGGGAGGTGTACCTTGAGGAAGGTATCATAGAATCACTTGAGGTGGAAGGGGCCTTCTAAAGCCTTTCTAGTTCAGCTGCCCTGCAATGATTAGGGATGACAACAGTTCAGTCAGGGTGCTCAGAGCCCTGTCCTGTCTGACCTTCAGTGTAGGGTTACTATGGCCCCTAGTTTAGCCTGGGAGCCTGACTGGGGAAGAGTTATACAGAACTTTAATCCATAGAGACCTTGTAATTAACTGATTGCAACAGAAGTGGAGGGTGCTGAAAACCCCGTTTGCGGGTAGGGAATCACTTCAATTACCTGTGCCTTTAATTGTGCTGGAGAGCTGTGAGTGTAACCACCACAGCTGTGCTCTGTTCCTGCAGCGCTCAGTGCGGTCACAGCGGAGCTGTTGTGTAATGGGAGGGCAGTGATGTACGGAATGAGTGAGACACTGGGGCTGGGGATCCCGTTGTAAAGTGAGCAGTTCTAGAGAACGTGAGCCTGAAGGAGGGTTGGCTCCTTACAGTTCCTGAACTGCAAACCAGGGATTAATGCAAGGCTTTGGGAGGGAAAGGTTTCTTCACTGTGCTGAAGTTCTGTGTGAAGCACTGCCCACATCCCAGCCTCACCTTCCTAGACCAAAGCTGTGCTCAGACTGCCTGCAGGTGTCAGCCTTGTGCTAGAGGACGGCCGATGCTCATGAGTAATTCTATGGGTTTTTCTGTCTTGTCTGTTTCTCACTTACAGCAATCTAACTTCACACTTTTTAACTTAATAGGTTTAAAAAAGCCCAACTCTTGCTCTTACAGATCAAGAGGCAGAACTAAAAACACATTGCTGTTGTATTTAATGAAGTTTGCTGTGATTTGTCTTTCTCAGAAGTATTTGTAGTAAAAGTTAGTTTCAGATGATCACAGTGGAGTGCAGTCACTAACAGACAGCAGCAGCGTAAGCCCCACTCACATTTACTTCCCCAGCTCAGCTCAAGGTGAGTAATGCACTGTCCTGTAGAACCTGCCCCAATGCTTCTGCAGCACCAACATGGGAGCAGTCACACCTTCCTGCAGCATGAGAGGACTGTGGAGAAAAAAATACTCTCTTCCCTTTGAAATCACGAGGTGCTGAGGGATGTAGGTTGGTGGGCATGGAATATTGGGTTGGTGTTTGGACTGGATGACCTTAGTGGTCTTTTCCAACCTTAGTGTTTATATTATTCTAAGTGTTGGCAGTATCGCGATGCTCAGTGTAAGTTTAATACAGAAGAGTTTATTATAGAAACCTGCTAGGAGAGACGTGGAAAAGGCAACCGAATTGCCTATGATTTTGATGCTGCCCTAGGTTTTCCTGAAGGAGCATGAAGCAAACCATGTTTGATTGCTGAACCAAAAGGCAAAGGGAAGGAGCAGCTTGCATTCAAGGGGCAGGAGGAGTGAAGTCAGCTCTGCTTTAGAAGGTAAGCTGCCTCGGGGAAAACATTCTGATCTGGATGTTTCATTACAAACCAGAGGACTATGCTGGAATACATGGTGAGTCTCACTGGTTGAATTTCACTGTACAAATCACGCTACGTCTGTTTACCATATAGAAGTAAGTCCAGCTTAACTATTTTAATGCTGCCATGATGAAAGGATGGCATTTGTGTTATGGAAACAGGCTTACTGAATCTGACAGCTGTGCTCTTGCTGTGGATTTGTATGTGGCACCTCCATGAGAACGCTTTAAAGGCCTGTGAAGAGCCTGAACATTGGTTGCTGCAGACATCTTGCTCAAAGGGTCATGGATTTCACAGCTATGAGGTTGAATGATTTCCAGCTACTGCAGCAGTAAAAGCAATCAGCCACCTTTAACACAACAGCAGTATTAATGATTCAAGGTGTGGAAGAGCATGCTGGCTATTGCTTATGTTATGCTGTAGCAAAATGCACATTACCAAATTCAAAGCAAACTTCTTGCTGCTGTGTGGACCAAAGCAGGCTACAAAGAACAGAAGATACAGTACAAGCATGCAATATTGCTTGGGAGGAGATAACAGAAAGCAATGGGTTGAAGAATTGTTGGCCTGTACTGCTCTTAATGCATATATCCAGTTTCTTGTCCACATATTATCAGTTGTAACATAAAGGCATGTTTTTGAACTAGGTAAAACTTAACAGCTGAACTGAGGCTTGCTGGATACACTTTTTAGGTTGCTCAATTTTCTACATAAATTCCCAAATTTTTGTAATGAGAATTTTTTGTTTCCTCTGCTGAAGTGAGCATGAATTCTATCCTGTGAAGATAGAAGGCAGATTCTGCACTTGAAGACTTACATAAATCACTGGGATGAAAATTCAGAATATAGCTTTTCATGTAATCTGTTTAGGCTTTAGTAAAGCCTTTGACTCTGTCCCTGGAGTGCTCCCCTAGAGAAGCTGGCAGCCCATTCCTTGGATGGGTGCACTCTCTACTGGGTAAAAAACCCCCTGGATGGCTGGATCCAGAGGATGATATAAATTAAATCCATCATGAGCGATGTTCCTCAAGGATCAGTACTAGGGCCAGTCTGGTTTAATGTCTTTAATTGAGTACATGCTCAGTTCTCAGACTGGTGCACCCTCAGTTCCCAGAGGACACCAAGCTGGGAGGAAGTGAGGATCTGCCTGAGGGTAGGAAGGCCCTACTGAGGGATCTGGATTGATGGGCTGAGGCCAATTGTATGAGCTTCAATAGGGCTGAGTGCTGAGTCCCACCCTTCGGTAGCAACAAGAGTTGCTCAGAGGAAAAACACCTGGTGGTGTTAGCTGACAGCTGCTGAATGTGACCCAGCAGTGTGCCCAGGTGCCAAGGAGGCCAACAGCATTCTGGCTTGTATCAGAAATAGCAGCCAGTGGGAGCAGGGAGGTGATGGACCCTTTGTACTCAGCACTGGTGAGGCCACATCTTGAGTACAGTTCAGTTTTGGGGCCCCTCAACGGAAGAAAGGCATTGAGGCCCTGGAGTGTGTCCAGAGAGGTGAGGAAGCTGTGAGGGGTCTGGGGCACAAGTCTTATGAGGAGCAGCTGAGGGAACTGGAGCTGTTTAGTCTGGAGGAGCTCAGGGGAGATCTGAGTTCTCTACAATGACCCACAAGGAGGTTGTAGTGAGGTGGTAGATCAGCCTCTCCTCTTAGGTGACAGTGATAAGGGTGAGAAACAATAGCCTTAAGTTTGCAGCATGGGAAGTTCAGGTTGGATATTAGGAAAAACTTCTCAGTACAAGTGGTGAGGCATTGGAACGGGCTGCCCAGGGAGGTGGTGGAGTCCCCAGCCCTGGAGGTTTTTGAGAACCGCGCAGATGTCCTCCAGTGCTGCATGGCTTAGTTGGCAGGGGGTGATGGATAATCTCAGCCATCTTTTCCAACCTTGAATGTTACTTGAATTGCACACTGTCCTTTGAGAGCAGAGGCCTCTGAGAGCAGCAAAAATACCTCAATTCACTGAGGAAATCACAGAGCCAAATAACAGCACTGTACTCTATGAACTGCAGGGACAGTAGCTGATGTTCAGGATTGAAGAAGTGAATACAGTTCTGGGAAGGGAACACCCCCTCTCCTTCCCCCTCCCCCCCCAAAAAAATAATCCAACAAGAACCTCTAAAAAAAACCGCCCTATAAGTACACGAAGACTTCATAAACAGTTTGTTATAAGAATGATGAAGGCAGTATTTTGTGGTAAGAATATTTTATATATTTTTACACTTTAACACTTACAAAAACATTCAAACAAAAAAAATTAAATAACTTTGGAAGCAGAATGAGTCTTTCTGCCTACATACATACAACAATTCCGAGCTGTTGGCACAAAAAGTAATCCACATTCATAAAACCCTTACTACTATATCAAACATAAGTTAAGTAAATCATAGGCACTAGTTTATCAAATCCATATTTCCACACTTCTGCAGTAAATCTCTAAACACAGAGCCCCATGATTTCCTGATATCAATAAACTGGTAATGCACGAAGGCTTTCTAGTAAACAGACAGTCTGTCTTTTCAGGAAGCTGTTTGTTGTATTTCAGGGGGAGTAGAACAGCAGAGAAAAGAATGCTTAAGAAGTGAAGCTGAATTTAGCCAAGTAACAAATTACTTAAGGAAACTTACAAAACAGTTTGATGCAGCCATGGTAAAACCCCAGTATTGTCCTCTAAATGGACTTCTAAAAGTCAACCAAGGTGTTTAATAAAATCCACCAATTAAAAGTAAACTCTTTTTTCAGTGAAGCAGCATTGCTTTGTAAAATGCTGACATATTAAAAATTCTGTCTTTGGGAACAGGTGCATTTGACCTCTTCTACTTAACAGCCACGTGCGACACTTACTGACATCCGCTGCCTGTGCCAGGAACGCAAGACCAGCTTGTTTCAGCAGGTGACTTCTGCTGCAATCTTACAAATTACAGTATATTTGATACCAATGGCAAAGTCTCAGCACAGATACTGGTCTGGAGCATGAAGTCACTCATCACTCCATAGCTTGCCTACAGCTGCTTGAGTAATTAAGAGCAAATCAGTCTCTGCTACTTTCTGTTTGGCTTCTTCCAACACAAGTAGTATTGCATGGCTTTTTATCCAGGAATATGCAAACGCCTGCCTACAACTCAAGTGCATGGATTTCAGGGTTAGTTATCCTCTTGGTGGGAGTCAAAATACACCAGCAGTTCCAAACTCAGGGGCTGAAGGCTATCTGCTGCCTGATCCAACCTGTAGTGTTTGTCAGTCGTTGCACAAAGGATACCACTCACCTTTCATTATTTCACTGACTGTACATCCAACACACTGAAAAAGCCTCAAACAAAATCCCTTCCATTTAACTTGTCCCACCAAACACGACCTTAGTTACAAGTGTTTGTAGGATGTCTTCTGAAACAGAAAATGACGGTTCAAATGCTAATTATATAATGAGTTGTTCTGAGAAAAACATGAGTGTTAGAACACGTCAGAGCCACAGGAGAAATTTAAGAGCTTGTAAACAGACATAGCAGGTTTCATACTCTATTACCAGTAATGTAAGATACACATATGTAAGGCAAAGTACATATTTAAAACACACTTACTTACATGGGAAATATCTTCTGTAAAAATATTTACAATTTAAAATAAACCAATTTAAGAAATGGATGAAAGTAAAAAAATAGGATACAGAAAACTCCCTCATACCATGGAACATCACCTAAATGAATATCATTTGGCATCAAGAGTCAACTCATTACCTTAAAATTTGTATGTTACAAGTGCATAGTTGTGTTTCCTTCTCCTCTACTATCAGCATTTACAGTTGTGTTCCAGGCTGCAAGCATAGTGGTATGGTATGACAATGAATGAACATTACTACTTGCTTGTTCCTTTTTAAGGAAACCTGCTATAAAAAAAGTTTTCCCCAAATAGTGAGTAATGTGTTAAAAATGTGGCTACAACAGCAAAGGCCATCTTTCCTGAGCCAGGAACTTTAAGGTCAGAAAGATTGTACAACTGATGCTAAGCCCTTTTGGCAATCAAGCAGTAAGAGCATGTAAAGCTGATAAATCAACACAGGAAAGATGCAATCTATACTATTGCATTTGTGTACGTCTGCTACATTCAAACCTTTAACATTAATAAAAGCCATGGCTACTCATTACTGTTCTGCCTGATCTTCCAGAGTAGCTTTTGATTCTCCCTGAAGGATATATGTACCACTTTTCCCAATGAGAATCTCATTCAATTGTTAACAGCAATATTTCAGTAGCACTGTAGCAGTCTGCAATCAGAATATCAACGTAGCCTTGTTTTAATTAGTATTTCCAACCTTTCTGTTGAATTAAAATAGGTTGAAGAGGATGTTTTGGAAAACCTAAGTGATTGTTGTCCTTGCTGTTTTCCAAGATGGGCATTTCTTTGGCATTCATTAGGTTCTTGCCCAGACATTGGCCGCTGTCATAAATGCTCACATTGACCCATTTTAGCAAGCAAGAAAAAAAAAACCCAAAACATAACTGAGAGCAATTTAATGTGAAAGTGATTGTATGACCACCAAACATCTGATGTTAGATGTCATTAAAGTGCTGCTTTATAATCTCTGCCAGCTTGTGCTAATTAGAGACAGAGAGGTCTGGAATTCATACAAATCCCAAAAGTCACATCTGAACAGTCTGTAGAATCAAGCTGTGTGTTAGCCTGGTGAGGAAGCATCCATGAGCACTGGAACTTTGCATTAAGCTCTGCAGTTCAATAGCAGCCATCTTTCCAACTCTCATCTTTCATGTTGCTGTAGGTTTTGGGAGCAGGTAATGATCTGAAAGAAAAGGAGATGTTTTTCAGTTTCATACATAACAGCTAAGTCTCCATCTACGATAGGTAAGAGCTTAAGCGTTTTTAAAATAAAGTACACACTTCACTCATTTGCTTCTCTGCAGTACAGTTTTTTTAACATAAACTCCAAAGTATTTTTCAGTTTATGAACTTAACAATTATCCCATCAGAAAACCATCTAAATAAACAGTCAGAAAACATTTTTTACTGTATTCTACAAGAACACAGATTTAAAAATGAGCTTTTTTTTTTCTGTATAAGCAGAGAGTTCCTTTTTAGAGTACTTTCCTTACATCAGAATCTTGGAAGTTCATTGATACTTCACTACTGCACTGCATACAGCTACTGCATGCTGTACCTACAGCATGTACAAGAGCTGTGTAATAACTGAAGCACTCCTAAGGCCAGCTGGGATTTGGACAACTACACTTTGCTTCTCTTAAAAAGTTTCTGTAAAAAAAAAAAAACCACCCTTGCTGTTTATAATAGCACATTTCATGCTGCTTATGGAGTATTAAACAGTCAGTACTGCCAGTCACTTCTTGTTCCCTGCCCAACACTCACAGCAGAACTGCTCTTTAAGACTGTTTCACCTTTCCTATGATACTGGAGATAACTGTTTTTTCTTTCTGCTTAAGGGGATTCTCAATATTCCTCATGGATGACTGCTTCCTTATGTCAGGTGTCTTCCACTTGACATCTTCAGTGAAAACACACACTAGCCTGGCATTAAAAGCACATATTCCAAGTTATGCACCGTTTCCTTCTATTCCCCTGAAGACAAACTGTCCATGTAACCTTCAGCTGATAATTAACTCCTCTTGTAGTTGCTTTCCAAAACTCTGACATTAAGCAACTTCTACAGGTGGCTGCTGACACTGAGGTTATGTTTGAGTTGAAAATTTTCTTTCATCCTGTGGCTTAACTGCACTGATATTTACGTTAGGTTAAGAATACCCAATGGATGAGCCCTTTGTTGTTAACGAGCCTTCCTTCCTAACGAAAAAGTGTTCTACTGTGGTGCCATTACTTGACACGGTTTACAAAAGGAGCTTCAGTAGTTCTAACAACTTCAGACTGTGTCACTCAGTGGTACAAATAAATTTTCATTTGCCAGCTACATTTTGGTGACTTTTTTTTTAAACCACAGAAGAACAAATCTTTGCCTTCGCAGCCCCATGCTGTGACACTTATTTAGTTCAGTATCTTTCATTATTCATTTCAGCTTCACCCATCTTCCCATCCCAATTCAAGAAACATTTTCTCTCAGTTTTGCTTCAAACCCCTTTTTGAAAACACAAACACTTGCCGTGGAGGTTTCCATTTCTGTCATTTCTTAAGACCTGGAACCAAACTAAAAATTGCAGTCAGGGACAGCAGAGATATACAACGTACAGAAATCAGTGTGCAAACCAAACATTGGGACTGCCTTTCCCACACTCACCTGCGAACAGGCTGTGCAAGTTTGCTACGAGGCACTGGGATGCCCCCCGTGGAAGGGGCACTGGGTCTGGGCAAACCACTCCTCATCCCCGCTGTCCCCGCCGGCCTGGTGAGGGTGGTGCTGTTAACACCGCTGGCAGGGCTGGGCAAGCCTGAACTCTGAGCTGCAAGAGGCCCCGGTGAAGAACTGCTGTGTGTCAGCTGCGTGGCTTCCAGAGGAGCAACAGAAGCAGGTCCGTGGTTACCAAACGCTTTCAGCGGCTGCCGCAGAGCAAGGGGAGACGGCGCTGCGGGTGAGCGGAATTTACTTGACGAAGGTACTGGAAAATAGAAGGCAGAAGTTACTTTCAAGCATAACTTACAGTATAACTGACATTAAAAACAGGCAAGGATTCTGTGTGAAAATTCAAACACAATGTATAATGGAGGACAGCCAATCAAGCAGCAATGAGAAACAGGAATTCAGATGTCCTTTTTGTCATGTTTTTGATATAACTCCAATGCTCCCTTTACCTACTATGAATATTTATCTGGCTTTTTAAGTAATGCCAATAAGGCTATAACCATTCTATCCGTCAAGCCAGAAGAAACAGAAGTGAACATATTTGGTAAGAAGAAATTCGGCTGTTTCAGAAATGTACCTAATTTCCATCTTTAAATGAACACATTAAAGTATATAGGATTCTAGTGTGACATCTGTGCATGTTTGCACTTCCTCGGGTACAAGAATGCAGCTCAGCGCAAGGCATCCTAAAGTTTGTGCTGTTCTTCTCAACCAAATCCATTGAGTCAGGATTCATCTTATGATAGGGTCAAGTTCAAAATCTGTAGTCTGAAGGCAAAAATATAAAAACAAATAAAGTCAGCCATCTCCCAGCACCAAAGAGATGCAGCTATGAAACTTAAACCAGACCACGCTGACAGTTTATAGCCTTCCTCTTCTTACCAGTTTTACTTACAGCTGAATTCAAATACTTTGTTATCAAAGTTAGTCAGTATGTAAAATGCAGGTCTTTATCAAATCCTCCCTGGGAAATGTTACTAAACCAGTGACAATCTATTTATTGGCTTAGACTTAGAATTTAGCACTCTCTACAAGCCTTTAATTCAAAGCGCACACACAAACGTATGCCTTTTTTTTTTTTGGTTCTATGTATTTATTTTACTCAATGCAATAGGAAGAGTTCTTATTTATTATATACACAAGAATTAATTCTGAATTTTCAAAGACAACTAGCAATTAATGACAATTGATCCTTGCAGCAAAATACTGACAATATTTAAGTCCTTTGGTAATACTAAATCTTAAATTCAATTCCTTATGAGTATCAGAAATATTGTAAAAATATGCATAATGTATCACTGAACAGAATTCTTGAACTAATCAATCTTCTTAATAGTTGAATGGAATTTCACCAGCTTCTCAGCTTGATTAGGATGGGATTCAGCAACAGCTGATGTTGGACAATCAATCAGAAAAAAGGAGAAACCACGCTGACGTTTAGTGACCTTGCATGAGCAATTCCTTTTTGACTAAAACATCTCTTTATGCAGAGGAAATTGAGTTCCTCTTTGAGTGATGTTGTACTTGACAAAGATGACCCTTCACACAGCACTCATTATCATTTTACAAGACAGATCCACTACGAATAGAGGAGTAGAGAAGAAACCAGTAATGATAGGAACATGACCTCCTATATGGGGTACAGAGAAAGTGATAATTTCCAGATTGTTCTGCAAAGCTATTCCTGATGGGACTTGATAGAAAGATTAATATGTACGTTATAGATGTGAGTTGGATTCAATTCCTTTGGGATTATACAAGAGGGCCTTTCTACTGACAGTAGAAAGCATGAGGCTGCGGATGGGAAAGGCTGACAAAGGTGGTAGAGATGTCAGCAATACGTGACGGTTGGTAAGTAGCAAGGAGAATAAAGAAAAGCCCTTAAAACCTTGGTGTCAAGCCAGACGATGGATTACAGAAAGCATTAACAGCACAATGATGGGACAAGAATGGCAGCAAAGTGCTCCTACAACTATGACAGACGACATATTAGAAGGGTGGGGTTTTTTTGAATGTGAAACTGTCAGTAAGATTGGTGTAATTAAATCAGCAATTACCAACAGATTCTACAGTCTAAACAAAGGGAGCTTTCATCACTAAATTCCTCATCACTGTACTTGGTGGAACTCAAATACAGCACCATGTTAGCAACTGACCTACTGAATAATAATATATAAACAGTATATAAACACTGGGCACAGCCTTAGAGCTGCCAAGGACAGTTTTGGCTGCTAACGCAAGAACGATGGGGAAAAGGTTCAAAGCCTTGAGTGCAACAAAAACTTGTAACTGAAGAGAGTTTCTCATTTTCCCAGAGATAAGAATCCAGCTGCAGTGGAAATGCAAAGTCATGGCCTGAAACGGTGATTGAGCACCTGGTAGGAAGGCAGGGCCAACCTAGGCACCTCAGGTGTGTGCAATGCTCCTGAGTGGCCAGAAGGGGTGGAGCCAGGATCCACCTTTTCCCAGACCTCATTTAAGGGTTAGCAGTAGGTGAGGGTATCTTACTGGAGATCCCTGCCTACCTGAGAGCTTCCAAAGGTAAGCAGCTTTTCTCCTTCATTTCTGTATCTGTGGCTGCTGTGTTTGGGCTTGATCTCGTTTGTTGGAGCCAAAAACTCTGCCATCCTACTTTTATCATCCCATTCTAGCATTACACCAGCAAATTAGTCTTCTCCATTCCCCGTTGTTCTCCCACCCCGTTTTGCCACACTTCCAGCTTGAGCTGTCAATTCACACAGTGTTTCTTGTCAGCACGCACGTTGCAGATGTTGCTGAGAGCTGTATTTGCTATTTTACATAAAGGAATTAATTGTCTTTCAGTGAGCTATGATCTCTGAAGTAATCACTGGCAAAGCACCTCACCATTCTGCTCTACATGCAGACTGCTCTACACTTTTGTCTTAGTGCATTTTTGGATATTTAATAAAATTCAGTTTGGCATATTTGTAAGACAGGATTACAAAAAGTGAAGTACTGCCTCATCTATTTGACACTGTATACCCATCTGCAGTAGCAAACTGGTAGATTTTAATGAAAACACATAAGGGCAGTGTTTTAACAACAGCACACAACTCCATCTCCTTAGGCAGCAAACGACTAGAATCAACTACAATCAAAACCTGAGGCAGTAAGGAAAAACAAATGGCATCGTGCATGATGCTGGGAGGGATTTTCCATCCTCTCGGGATTCTGCTCCCCATTGCAGGGCAGAAGTCGGCTGCAGTAAGGACTGAACCCCAAAGCCAGCTGCTGCACACCAACTCGAAACTGAACCAATTCAGATGCAGTTAAACTGAAACATCAGTATGAAATAATTCAGACTGATACAGAACAGTCGTATAAACCTTAACAAATCTGCTACTGTGAGGTAAAGACTTTGTTTCTTGAAAGTATTTTGAAATGTTTTACAGAAAACGATTAAAAAAAACCCAAACGTGCCAAAGTGCTTATGCAAAAGCTGTTAAGAGATGTGATGACCAACGTTTTAAGAAACTAAGAAGAATTTCTGCCTACAGTCATTTATTGTTCTGAAACAAAGGTCTTGTTTCATTGCTGCGTAACACTGCTACGATCCCAAGAATCTCACTTAGGTCACAGACGAGAAAACCAACGCAGCAAAGACCAGAACATTTCTGTGTTTCTGCACGTTTCAACAGCTGCAGGCGAGGCCACGGGCCCTGCGAGTGTTCTACGTAATGGGATGAGTGCAAAGGCACTGCCTGCTGGAAAGGGCACAGAAAGCTTTGGGAAGGAATAAAAAAGATGGTTGTATGCCAAAGCAGAACGCTGAGAGAAGTTTTTTGCATTTGGAAATATCTTAAAGACCATTAGAAACTTCCTATCAGCCACGTGAATCTGCTTCAAAGTCATGACACTGATAATTCAAGGGAAGGCAGGACACTAAAACTTTGTGAATGGAATGAAGCTGACTGAAAGAAGTTAGTGTTAAAGCACTGAAAGGCATGCTTATTGTCAACCACCTCCAGGATCTACAAGTATTCCTACCATCCTTAAGAGTTTCTAACATAGAAATATCTAATGAACTGGCAACAGATAAGGTCATCAAACAAAGCTTTCTTGTCTGTAATACACAACAGGACCAACTACATTTGAAGCCAAAACTATATACTTTTGTTTTCATCTTGTAGCGAAATTGAGGCAGTGTCACAAGCAAGGCTGCCCGCATTAGTAAAAAATTAGCTAAAGCTTGCCTAATTGGATTTAGGACTTCTCAAAAATGTCAACTTGAGTCATTAGCCAACTGGAACATTATACACAACAGTCTCTAATTCTTTGAGGGGAAAAAAAACCCCAACACAAACTAAATTACTGTGGGATAATGGTTTGGTTTTGAGAGGAAGGGAGGAAGCACAAGCAATGTGTACTCATGTGCACAAATCTCCAGTTGACGCTGTATGCAGAAGGGTGAAGTTGTTACTGTTTGTTTCCAGAACTAAGTGAAAGACAGTGTTTTCACTTGTCTGATTATTTTTCACGTTCAGTAATGTTTACAAAACTCGTTTTACAAACTGTATGTTGTAAGAAAAAAATCCCATCCAAGTAAGTGTCACCCCACTAAATATTCATTCAGAAGTCTGCTTTTTAGTGATCAATGCTAGAAGTCACCTAACAATTGGATTTTTGTCTCAAAATCAGATTTAAAGCTATTCTTTCCTTATGTGATACAGGAATGTTATTTTCAATGTTTAGACCAAGAAGTTAGCTACTGGTCTAATATTAAATGTGGAGGTTGTTGGCCCTGCATATGGCAGGGGGGTTGCAGATTCATCATCCTTGAGGTCTCTTCCAACCCTGGCCATTCTGTGATCCTGTGAAGTTAGATTCTTTGTTACACCAAGAGCTACTCAGTTAATCTCAACATGCAACAGCAACTTCATTAATCTTGAATGTATGAGATTTAATGCAGGTGAACAATTATCCGAGACTTGCTGGAGCTTGATAAGAGCCTATAAGTTAATTACCTCCTTTTGCAGATGGAGTTTGAAGAAACTGTTTGGTTTTGAAGGCAGCGCGAGGCAAATTTTTCTGCCTTTGCAGAGCTGTTGAAAGACAAGAAGTGTTATATTTGTCTAAGATGATAAGTAAGCTAAATTTACTGGGAATTTCAGAAAGGCATCCGCTTGTGAAGCATAAAGAATAGAGTGAGTAAAACACTCCAAAAGCTGTTACGACTCCAAAAGTGATGGTTTTTTAAATGGTGCTTGCTCTTAATGGCCAGGAGTTACAAAGAAGCGTGTGAGAAATTTTGCAGTGCAAAATGCGCAGATTCTGTAAGAGTGAAGCTGCTTGCATGGCAAAACGCCCAGAAAGGCAAAACCAACCAAACAAATAAATACACCAAAGGGAGAACAAGCCGCCTAGCACGCATGCTACAGCAATATGAGTGCAAGATCAGATAAAAAGGTGACAATTTAACTGTCCTATTGGATCAAGCGAGACTAAACTTTTCATTTTAAAGTAGCTTTCAAGAAAAAAGTTGTAGCCCTACACAAAAGCATCACTTTTGGTATGAGCATCATTTTTGTGCAAAAGTAAGCCATTTTCAGAGATGTTTGCTTTTTTTTTTTTCTCTGAGGTTACACAAGGGAACTCAGAATGAAGATACAAAACTGAGGATTAGCAGCTGTCAGCAAGCTAACAGCAGCTTTTTCTTTTACATAGCTCCTATGTCCTGCCTTTTTTTCTAGTAGCATGCAGGGGCTAATACTGCCTCGACACATCCTTACTACGTAGCAGATACCAAGAGAGAAGCCTGTGTTCCAGGAGTGGCAGAAACTTGGCAAAGAGAGAATTCTCTGCTGCCAGAAGGAATGCACTGATTCGGCACGTTTTCGCCGCAGCATATTTTTGGAGGGAAGAAGGAAAGCAGTCAGTGAACTAAAGCTTTGCCTACACAAAGGCTGCTTAAAATGACAACGTATGAAAAAACGTCTCTGCTCACCTCACTGTGTAGTTCTATGCCAGCATGAAACTGCCTGCACCAGTAAGGCTTATTTCCATAGCAAGAGGGAAGAAAGATGGGGAAACAGTTGTATGTGAAGAGCCTAACCCTGAGTAAGGAAGCTCAGAGCTCACGTCACCAATTCTTGAAAACCACTACAGAAGGCAGGAGGAACAATCAGTACTAATCCTTTACTAAAGGATTTCTTATCCTTCAGTCAATGCAAAATTTGCAATATTTTGTGAGCTATAAAGGAATTTCATCGTGTGTTTTACCTTCATTCTAAAAATATTAGGTGGTGGTCTATTTTCATTTTGATCTTAATAACTAGCTAATAACTTTGTTTTCAACGAATAGCAAAAATGAATAAAGACACTTATAAAACGTGTCTAAAAGAACAAAAAATCCTTCCACCAACTAGAATCTAATGCAAAAAAGCATGAGGCAATAGACAGTTATTATTCAACTTCTGACACACAGCCTTACTGTGAACTTTTTTCAACACTTCTAAACAGCCAATTAAACACATGAAGATGTTTAAAAATGAGCACAATTCCCAGACTTGTTTTCTTAAAGGAATTTAGTGAAGCCAACCACTGGCCAGAGTGTTTCTGTCCACAAGGATTCCATAATACCACTTTTTGATGAATCAGTGTTTTTGCTCTACCACACGAAATCCAGAGCAACTTCTTCCTTCATATTTATGACCCTGGATGTTGTTTTCCCTTAATCATTCTGCTACATTTAAATTGCCAACTGTACGTGGCAGTAAGTTGCTTCACCCATCATTATTGCACTACTTGCAAGTCAGAGATGTGAGATGATGTGGAAAGAATTTTAAAAAATAATTTTATGTATATATCAAATTCCTTCTTTCCTTCTCAGTGGAGACTCCAGGGAAAGCTCCCAGCATCTGACAAATAAGAGCACATGCACTGCACCACTGCGCAGAGCTGCAGGCAGGGAACTTGAGCAATGCTGTGGAAACGTGATTTGAGATAAGCAGAGTGCATGCTCATCCACACTGTTTGCTGCTCTTGGACAGTTCTATATCACCTCTCAGAAACTGTGCAAGCTGAATATATTTAATTATATTTATTTCTCATTAACTGAACTGCAGTACTTAGGTTTCCTAAAAATATACAGGTTCTTTTGCCCTGAACATGCGAAGCAGCCACATCTTGGCAAGCAGACTATGGTCACTAATAATTTGAACAATCTGCAGCTTAGCTCATTGAAAAAGCATTGTAATCAACTCTGCTTAAAGGTTTCACACCCCTGCATTATTAATGCTGCGTATGTTCAAAAGCATCGTGCATACATGGTCCACATAGCTCCTACGTAGAAACCACCTTGTGCAAAGCTGTACAGTCTCCACAGAGTGCAATCTAAATGCAGACTTCTGCAGCTTGTAACACACTGAAGTCTAGAAGATGCCTGGTCTTTGGAGAATGCAAGTATTACCCCATCTTCCAGTGCTCTACAGTGAAATACTTAACGGCTTTCACGTTCAAAAGTCCTTTCTGCATGACAGCACAGTAAACCATGTGTAAATGAAGACTCCAGTAGAATCTTTTCAAAGAGAATTTGGATTTTTCACCAAATTACAACTGAAGTTTATAAAATGCCTTCTTTTTGCAATTGTACTTACTGTAATTATCTTCCATCTAGTCCTTAATCAAGCATGTATTAATTTGCCTACGTTATAACTATATCAGGAATTGTCTGTACAGAACCTTACTGGATTCCTAACTCATTTTTGAATGCCAGCAACAATAGCAAGTTCAGTATTTGCAGCCACAGCAAATGTGCAAGTAAATTATGAACAGCAGATCATTGACAAAAAGAAAAGTAGTGATCCCAGGTGGCAAGCCAGCATCCTTGCAAAGGTAAGCTCATGCAAAACTAGCAGGTATGAGGAAGCTTTGAATCCTTAGACCCAGAAGTCATTGCCAAGGGAAAACAAAGCTTTGCTGCAATTTAACAGTGCTTTGTGCAAGGTGACAAAATATAAAACCAATAAAACAAAAAGTGTATAATAAAAAAAGCACAATTCTGGAAATTTTTTATACAATGTACAATTTTGAGGAATTTTTTTTTTTAAATCCAGACTAGGCAAAGATACTTACTCATTGACTTCATACACAAACCGTTTTACGATTGTCAATAGCAAGACTCTGAAAACATCTGTAAGAGCAGGGAAACTGTAAAAGCTAGAAATCTGGGCTTTGTTAATGATATTTAACTTACATTTAGATGTAAGTTGGTCTAGAGTGGTTCACATTTGGTGAAAGATTCCCGTAAAAAGCAAACAGATCTACCTAATGCTTTTTATGATTTTCAGACCATCCAGTAGTTGAAAACAATTATGTATTATAAATGTCTCACTTCTGCAATGAAATAACTCAAATGCTGAAAACAGAGACTTTTTCTATCTCATCTTTCTACAAAGTTTCAGTGCAAATATTGGAAATTAGAAACTAGCTTTCTGACTAGCTAAGCTGCCCTCTCTACTCACCCCTTTCAAGTTCACTCTATTTTAAAACACCAAATGCAATCTGTATAGATTTGGCTATAGTATCACACAGTTGGGACTAATTGTCCACAGAACCCTTACATCCAGAGTCATTACAAAGACAAATCTTGTCTTTGCCAGGTCCGTACTGTTCTGCACTTAACTGTACCTGGTTGTATTAGCAAACTGTTTTGAAAGGCCTATGGTTAAAAAGGCCAATCAGATATGCTAGCATAGCTTTATTCTTCAGCAGGTGAAAGCGAAATTTGTTTCATTCACAAATACTATTTGACGTTACTTGTCAAATACTTGGATTACTGATGAACTTTTCTAGATCAAAGCTCTGCAAATAATAATATTCATAATGCATTTTTCCTTTGAAAATGTCACACAAGATAATTCATTTTCAAACTTGTTTTAAAATAAAAGTGGTCAGGAAACATTTAAGCAAAAGGAACTGTCAATATTGACATACAAAGAAGCACTGAATATTTGCGTTTCATTTGCTCTGGCTTTAAGGTCACCATTTGTAAGAGACTTGTGAGATCAGCAGCGTTCTCACATCAGTGGTTCACTTCCAGCCAAACCAGCAGGCACTAACCCAGCACTGTGCTTTTTGTTGCACGGGACTCAGGTTCACCTCAACCTTTGCTGAGAAACACTGATGTTTGAAAAAACAGAATCTGCAACTGAATATAAAATTTTCAGGTGACAAAGCAGAGAAAATTAACTGCAAATGAGTTAAAATTGCATGAATGATTTTGTATTAGGTTTCAGTAGTTAAAAATAGCAAGACTATCATCAAAATAAGCATTCTGGTAGCATGATGTGTTTTTCTAGTCTGAAATAAAATAAAACAGTATGAAGCATTATCCTTTCTGTCTAATGCTACTTCAGTACTTCAGAGTATTTATACCTTATATATGCTTTTAGGATGGTATGAATGTTATTTTAACAGATTAGGAATTTTTTCAGTACGTTCAATACCTGATCTACTTTACAAAAAAAAAAGAAGCTGTATTTCAGACAGATGTGATTAAAATCCAGATTAGCACCTCTAGCGTGGCATGCAGTGTTTCTCTGTGCCATGAAACTGGAAAAAAGCTCAGTGCCATCACTTAATTCTGACATACCCACTAAAATGTCAGGCAAGTACTTACTGGCTGAGGCTTGAGATTGAATGCGAGGTATTCCTCCATTTGGCACTTGGAAGTTTGAGTCACTTCTGCTGTTTTTCACAGACTCAGCTTGGATGTTAGATGTCCTGGACAGGTTTGGAAGACTACGCCTTAGTTTTTCTGTGTGAAACAACACAAAGATGTCACTACGTGTAGCCCAATGCCTGACAAAGTTCATGTTATTAACCAATAGCTGAACTCAAAATCTAAGTGACACAAACAGTTAGGTATATAAAACTAATTTAAATGCATACTTTGCTACATAACAGTTCTTTGATCATCTTGAAATAAAGTTTTATATTTATATACAAAATTGAAGAATATACAATTTTCACTTGTGAAAAAAAAAAAAAAGAAATTAAGAATGGGGTTTTCCAAAATTGAAATGTGTCTAAATTATAATTCCTTGGGTTTTGTTCCTGCATTACAGCAATTGAATACACAAATCTGTCGTCCACTGTTGCATACTTTCTGAAGCCTTTATCTAGAAACCTATACTATACAGTGCTTGCCATAAGATTAAAAACAGTAATTTCTGAAGCATTATTTGTCACCACTCAGTCCCATATCAGCACGCTATGTAACAAACAGGCACTCACTTGGAAAGAAACTCATATCACTTAGCATTCAAAATTACAAAGTGTTACGATTCTTTCACATATGACTCAAGTATTAATTCAGCTCATACTGATTCCTTAAGTAGCTTATCAAATTTGTACAGTTTCTCACAGAAGGTAAAAAGATGCCATCAAATTCTTCTCAATTCTTGTGGCATTCTGCATATGTCCAACCCACACAGAGCTGGGTTGATGATGCTCCATGACAGAAGAGCACAGCTGACAAGGCACAATGAATGGCCAACCTAACTATGAAGAGTGATGGAGGGAGGAAGTACTCCAACTACTCTTAGTGGAATTCTTTAAGTGATAGAGATTGCTACTGTATCAGCAGCAGAAAAGAGAAACAGTTAAAAAATATATTTCTACATCAACACAACTTCAGACACTTTACATCTATTTTACCTTGAAGAGAAATAAATAAGCTCAATTCTTTGAATCTAAATGTAGTTCTGAATTTAATATTATTTGCCAAATACCTACCTTTTTAAAAATGGGAATATGCCTAATTTCAGCTCCGTTAAAGGAGTTTTCACTGGCTTGCTACCAGGAAGTACATTCAAGAAGCAAAATTGTATCAGAACAGCATTATTATATGATAATATAATTGGTGTAAAGTTTTCTGCAGTTTTACTGTTTGGTAGTTTGCACAGCTTCAACACTGATTTAAAATAGTCAACAAAGACAGTATGAATATTTTAAGGCCATATTCATGGTCAAAGAGCTCACAGTCCTGCAGTGTCAGAAGAAAGCATACAGCTATCTCACAGGCTAGAGGCATGTCTAAACTGCAATCTTACTCTTATTCTGAGCAGTTATACTCTTCATTTTATTATGCCATCTGCAAGGCCTGCTGGTGAACGATAGGTTCCCTTGCGCTCTCCTTTATCGTAGTGCATTTCACTGGCACAGACAGAACTCAGTCACAACAAAACTACACTCATTGACTGGATAACATCTAACATACAGAGGAAGTCTATCAAGTCATCTGACAGCTAGAGCTCCCCAGCAGTATTTAAGCTTTGCTTACTCTTCTTCTTCTTAAAAGCTCTGAGATTAAACCATGGCATTGTGCAAGCACATAGTTTTAGCACTTCAACCCAGACAAAATCTTCTATGGGAATTACACAACTACCTTAGCTACTTGTGTAATGAAATTGAGAACAGAGCTTATTACCTTCACTTTTGACATTACTGGTCTGCATATCTGTAGGATGGCCTTGAAGTGAAAGACGAGGTTGCTGTAAACGGCTGATCATAGGCTGGGGTGACACTCTGCTGTATTCTATACTTCGAGCAGGTGATCGGGAGCGAGGAGAATTCCTTGGAGACTGTTTTGGTGAAGGCCAGGGAGAACTACGAGGTGACGGTGAGAACCTGCTGACAGCAGGGTGCACTGTGTGATGTGTGCCATCTTCTTCATCTTCTAAACTCTGTGCATCGAGCTCCTGGTCACTGAATGTGCCTCGCCTGGTAGAATTGCAAGAAGAACCGGAACTACGCCGAGAAGCCGATGCTGCGTACTCTTGCCGGAGGCCTGGAAACAGTGAGTAGATTGTTACTTTTTATCAGCCCACATATGGTGCAGACTAGAAATCACTTACACAGCTACCTGCCCAGGGCTCAAGCTAACATTTAGCTCATCTTCCCTCTTTTTATTCGAGACATAAAATTAATTCCAGATTCGTATCAAACAAGGTTGTCCAACAGCTGAGTAACCAGATGAGTTTCTTCCTTTCCATACTACAACAATCATCACTATATTTGCGCTACTTGTTCATCTTCTCTCCCAGACTAGATACCATTTAATTTGGGTATCATGTACCACCCTGTAAGACTTATAGAAGCTGCAATGAAATGCCTCTTGAGATACATTAGTAAATATAACAAAAAGCTACGCCCAGAGAATCTAGAGCTCAGTTAGACCAGTGATCTCCCAAGCTGGGTGCGCTTAGCCAAGGAGGCACACAAAACAATTCAATCTGATAAAGGGAAGAAAATTTTTTTGTAACATTAAGAGATAAAACAGTGTTTGTAATTACTGTTTGCTTCACTTTTGCATCATCCTTTTAAAATTTCTACTTTTGCACAAGCTTATAATGCACAAAATGTACCAGGGCAGGAGTACGTGTATACAATGGTATACATTTCCTTTCCTTACCCAGGAAACAGAAGTCCTTAGCTAATCTTCTCAGGAAAACTACATTTGTACATCCCTGAGAGAGACTTCTTTCCCATTCCTGCTAAGGAAGTTCTGCTGCAGTTGTTTAATTAAAAAAAGATCAGTCATCCCACTTGATTTTCAGGATGCAAAATACTTACTTTCTTCCTGCATTCGTGCTAAAATTTGCACATCTGTAACATCATTTAGCTTGTAATTAGACCCAATAGAGTCTTCATCCATCTCTGATGCACTTAATTCACTGTCCACAGAGGACTGTGGGCTTAGTGGAGGATTCCTATCAGATGAGCTTTTAAGATGACCTATAGAAAGAACATAAAGTAATAGGAGATGTTAAACAAAATAACACAAAAACAAAACAAAACAAAAAAAAAACATATCCTGGTAGAAGAACCAACAGTCTGAAAACAGATTATGACTTAAAACACTGAGACAGACATTTGAAATATCTGACTGCAAATCTATGCTGAAAATGAGTAAGTTTATAAAAATCATTATAATGGTGACAGATGAAATTAACGACATAAATTTGGTCCATTTCTACCAAGGTTTCAAATGCTATGACATTTGTACAGCTCTTACAGAAAGAGCACTGCATGCCTGTTCCATTTATGGCTTCGTTCTTATTCCTACACCCGATGAGGGCTACTCTGAAAGTAATGCCTTCTATTTGATTATGTTGGCCTGCAATGTCAGAAGTGGATATTGAAGATACAGCAGTAGAGGTTGAACTTTCTCGCCAATATTCCATTACATTTTGTTGCTGTGTGACAGATGGCAACAGGACAGTAACACGTAACAAAGACCAGAGCTAGATAAATGAAAACAAAACTTCAGTAACGACTGGTGAATATACTGCAGAGCAGGATTTTCTTTATAAGTCCACAGCAAACTATGGATAGTGGAACTTTTAATTAAATGTTCTTTTTCTTCCCTGCAAACTAACTTAAGTTAAAGTAAATGCAATGAGCCAACATTCTGACTTCAGTGTAGAGAGATGTTCCACACAGCAATTTTTCTAAAGCGTAGAAAGGTGCCTGTGGCACAGAATAAAGGCAGAGAAGGTGGCCAGAAGTTACTGTTCATACTGATGTCTGCAGAGCCTTAAGGAATAGCTGTAATTGAAATACGTGCTTCTTTCTTAGATTACATTGTTCATATTGCAGCTGTACTGATGGATGCATCACATATCAAATGATTCAGTAAATAAGTAATGCTGCAATTGCAAAGACTTTACAGCCACCACCAGGTAATGTCTAAAGGTACTACACAAGGTCAATTCCAGAAGCTTCTTATGCGCTCTGGGACTTCACAGAAGTAGCAGTAAGAGTTTTGGTCTAGCTGTTAAAATGTAACCAGTTATCTTAGGTAAGTGGGTATCCAAAGAAAACATTGTAAATGTACCTCATGCCAAAAGGTGTGTGTATAAAAAAATGTCTTTCCTAAAAAGCTTAAATACCGCATGATGCAAGCTTCCTACAAAAACACTGATGAATTGAGGTGTCCTTCTTATTCTAGGTTCCATGAAACGTACAGTATTTGAGCATGTATTTCTGAAAGAAAGGAAGAGGGGAAAGGAAGGGACCCCTTCAAACACACACACTTACCTGAGGCACCCGGAGATATGAACTGTTTCACTAACGCAGATTTCACCGGTGTTGAGGAGGGAGAGTTGAAACCACTACTGTAGGGGCTACTGGTATTTGGACTATAGGAGCTGGCATAGCTGACTGCACTGAAAGGACTATTGTAGAAACTCTGTCTCTTCACAGCTGTACAAAAGAGGAGGAAAACTACAAATTGTAATACAGGAACAAGCAAGAAAAAATCCATATACAATATGGTAACTTCAGTGTGATTTAATTGCTATACAATTCAAGCAAAGCACTTAAGTCAGCAGGGATTTGTTTTTCAGCTGATTTCTTAGCCTCCTAGATACTAATCGTAGCGCAAGAAAACTACAAGATAAGATAACAAGCACTTTCTTAGTAAAAATCAGATCTAAAATTGCTACACTCGTTTTCTTCTGTTCAGCATGCCCAACCAAGGAGGAGGGAAGTGACTCAAAATGTGACTGCAGTCGCTAAGCGATGCTAACACAGAACCTACGCATTACATACAAAACAGAGACACCATTAAGTATCAAGGGCTACAAAAACCATCCTCTTTGTAATTAGCTGCAACGAAAAGAGACATCCCTACATATATCAAGGTAAGAGCACATGAAACACAGTTGCCCCAATTACAATCTGAATGAGTTCCGGATGCAACCCTGCCAGCCTACCTTGGAAAATGACAGATGTTACAGCAATAACAGCAAGTGCTCACTGAAGACAAAGAGTCCTTAGCATGTGTAAGTACTGACAGAAAAAGATTGCTTTTGGCTACTCCTAAGGAGCTGCTGCAACACTGCAGTCATCCAGACAAAATCCTAACATGATTTCCACATAGAAAACCAACCAGTAAAATGAAATTTCTGAGGCAGTTGCCTTTGATTTTTAGCCATTCCAAATGTTTTTAAATATCAATTGACTAGAACAACCTTGCTCTCATTCCCCCTAGGTTTCATCTCAGCCAGTCTTTGAGAATCACAAGTAATCCCTGGGATGGTGTTGATATATATACAGAACTAAACCAGCATTCCTGTACCTCCTGCAATAGCCTTTTAGGGTGAAAGAGTAGTTAATATGCATATAAATCATATGGGAAAGCAGTTTAATTCTAGTTCTCCAGAATGCAGAGATTCTGGATTGTGTAGTATTTGAACAGCAACCCCAAGACTGGTACCAGAGAACTAGAAATACTGCATATGAAATTTCCCAAAGCATAAGCCGAAAGAAAAAAATCTAAGTTAAGCATGGCAAATGCTTGTTTATAGTTCTGGATACTCTGAATCTGTTTGGGACTATAAAGCAGAAATGGTCATAGTTTTTACTGCAACCCAAACTTATGCAGTAGATTTATACAGAACTTAAAAGGCTTCTCCGGAAGTCACCAAGACAAGCCATGTGGTGGTTATACTGTTCTACCAGTCTTCAGTTTCCCAAAGAATGTAACTAAAGCAACCAACCATAGGACAACATCACTTACTCAGAGAATATTTTTGAAGTACACCAGGATGACACAAATCACGACATTGCCAGGCTGGTCAGTTAAAATGCCAGATCTTTACCAGGTTAGACTAAAGCTTCACTGCTTCCCATGCTTCCATCTGTACTAATGCTTTTTGTAAGAGCCACCTCCTATTTTGGTTGCTTTCATCAGCTACTTAAGACGTCAGCCAAATTAATTTCTTAAGGATATGCCAGAAAGTTAGCTACCTTAATGTGAATTTCATTTCATTAGAATCCATAGTCACATTTACTACATCTGGTCAAAAATCCCTCATCAAAATGGAGTCCTTAACGGCTCTTTCAAACTGTAGGATCGTTCCTAACTTTGGGATTCTTCTGCCAGTGGGCTTCAGTGCCACATATGAAGTAAGAGCTACAATTTGGCAACTGCCACTGCTATTGGCCTTACGTGTATCAATCCTGAAGTACTTTCAGATGAATTTGAATTAGCAGCATACATTTCCACTATTATACCTCCGCTCCCAAAGCTGCCAGCTTACAATTTATATACCTACTTAAATGTTTTGTTCAGAAATTCAGTTTTCATTTCAAAATAATAGAAAACAGAACTTTGATGGGGAAAGTGGAAACCAAAGGAAATACGATCAGTTTTGGTAAAACAGTTTCTTCATTGCTGAAAGTACTTTATGCCAAACTGACAAAAAATTGCATTTAGATTAGTAGCCAGCAGCTCAGTGAGCTGCAAATTAAACTATAAGGCATGACAGTTTTGAAATTGGCAAGAATAGGCTTCAATGTGTGGCAATATACTCAAGCAGGCTCTAGGGGAAAAAGAAAAAAAAAAAAAAACAGAAATTGAGCTTTTCAAAAGAAAAAAAGAAAAAAAAAAGGCTACTGACAGTAAATGAAAAGATAAAAAATAACTGAATTCCATTGTGCCATGTCAGGCAGTTTGGCATTCACTTGGTTTACTGAAAATTCCTTTATTCTGCTTTTATTTATCTTTTTAACATGAAAAGAAGCCAAATAGAAACAGTTGCATGAAATGCTGCCTTCAGCAGCAAAGCCTGCTTGAGCTTCTCCTCCCACCCCACTCTGCTCTTGGTCACTACTTCCTCACTCACTCAATACAAGCAATAGAGGGGTTGCAGTGTTACCCAGACTACTAAAGCAGTGTCAATAATAACTGATCTCATCAGAGGACCAGTTTTCAGTAGCACTGCAAGAGGGATTGTGTTACCTCAACTGAATGGCTAGCAGAGTGCAGCAAAGGCAGAAACGGCAGGAATTAAAGCCAGCCTCACAGCAGATTCCTTAAACTGCTCTGCTTTCACTTTCATTATTTTAGCCTGAAAATGAAAGCTATGTGCTAATTTCACCAGCTATGAAATTTCAATGAATTTGAGTAAATACTCTTGAGCTGCCTCCACTTTATTTTGTGAATGCCACAAAGGAAACCTGAGCTTTATTATCAAGCATAGTCAACAAAGGTTATTAAAAGTGGTTGTATTCTGGTCGACTGATGAGACAACTCAGTCTATTTTAGTGTTCATGCAACAGCTCCGAAATACCTATTGCAAAAACCCCTAAAATGTAAGGATGCACAACAGTTCTTCATTTTGTATTCATTACACAAACACTAAAACATCAAACACAAATTTGGAAACAACTGTACTACTGTAAAATCTTAAAGACAGGCTCTTTGTACATATCCACAGTGATACTAGGTATTTATGACACGCAGATTTCTTCAGATGAAAGCAAGCATTTCATTATATACAGATAAGCACTCCCTGGTACATCATGAAATTTACATGGTACAACATTTGTCATCCTAGGCAAGTATGAATTTCTACCATCCTCAGCATTGTATTTTTTTTCCACAAAAACAGCAACAACCAAACAAAAAAAAAAAAAACCAACTGGATTCAAACAATTTTTCCTGGTACAGAATTCCAATAGGGATTTCTATAGCGTAGGAAGGCAGTAAGTGTTTTTCAACAACGCAAAACATGGTCCTTCTTAGGAGTGACAATGTTAGTAAGTTGGATAAATTTTAACACAAAAATAATCCTCTATTAGATGAAACATCAGCTTTGATTAGATCATGCATTAGCTTTTAAAACATAGAGGGAAGAGTTAATGAAATGACGAGCATTTTTATAGTAATGCGTATTTTCTTTTATAAGATTCAGAAACAGCATTCACCACCCAGTTTATTTTAGTCAGCATTTGGTTAAATTGGTCTTCAATTTCTTTTGCTCTAGAATAGAGAGGAATAGTATTTCTGGGTTCCTGCTGCTGATTTCTTCACATCTCATTCATAAAATCCGATCTCGTTTTAGACGCCCTTGTGCTGGAAGTGCTGGTCTCCAGCCAGCATGAAATGTGCTTTTTGCACTTTTGACCAGGGACTGGAGGGCAAGGCTCAGAGAAGACTGCACCAGGACACGCCTAACATTACCTCTAGTCTGGATTTTCTTCCAACACTAAGCAGTCCTCACCCTGCAACTATAAACCTGAACTCAAGAGCAAACGAGCCCCATGCATTCTGTGTTCCAAGAAACTGTTTGCATGGAGCTGAAATTCCCTCTTCCCTTCTTTATCATCACACAATGGAAAAAGATTATTTTATAAGAAGAAAGAAGAAAATCTGGAAAACAAGAGTGCATTTGAGACATAGAAGAGGCAAAAAGATTAGAAACACGTAACAGGAACTGCCAAAGAGAAAATAGTCATGGCAAAACAACAGGAATCAAGGAGAGAAAGTAACAGCAGTACAAAAAGCCTCTATGAAGACTGGAACTGAAATTTATTAACTGAATCACTAACTCATAGGTGAAGAGATGGGGATCCTTGAGGCAGAATCAAAGAGAATGTAAAATACAAAAGCCCAAGATATTCTGAAAATTGTGGGGTAGGAAACACACAACTACAAGAGTGGAGCTTCCTGCTACCCTATTTCTGCTGTAGTCTGGTTGGTCTAAAGGACAATCTGATTTTCTGTTACAAATTCACTTTTCCACACAGTCTTCTCCAACTAGCAGTATTAGTGCTCATCTCTTCTACCAGAAATATTTTTCCCTGTTTGTACCATGGGTGAGTTGCTGTACTCTTGCAAGAGTAACTGCCAGAGGTGGATTGTTGGGGATATGGAAAAAAGACAAAGTTGCCTAGACACAGTTTGAATGGATCAGACTTTCAAGTTCAGCCATCTCATACAGCAACGTCCTGCCATCCTGCTCCCACTACGACTGAACTTCTAAAAATATTCCAAGTGTTACACAAGCTGTGATACCTGCTGAAATGAAATAACTCATTGTGAAGGCAATTTCAGCACTAGGTTTGCTAGTTTTTGTAACAATAAGAACTGGATTTTTCATATTATCTACTAGCAATGTTTTCAAATTTTATTAAGAACAATCTTAGTACAAATCAGAGTAAAGACTGAATTGCTCCAAAGAATCCAAGGAAGGGGAAAATATCATAATAGAACTCAGCAGAATTTATGTATAACCACATGAAGGATGGTTGGGAACATTTGTATTTGGAAATAACTGTTCAGATATTCATAGGTCAAATCCAATCATTCTCTTAATTCCTGCAGATAGTGGTAAGGAAAGAAAAAAGTAGCACAAAGCTGCAAAAAAAGATGGAAATACAAAGCAAGAATAAATATTAACAGTAAGAAAGGTATTTCTCAGTATCACTTTTCTTTCCTCCTATAAAAATAGACTTAAATAAAGAAGTTAAAGCAAGTTTTGGAAAACAGTCAGAGGCTACAGCTGAGTTTAGGGCATTCACAGGGCAAAGTATTACTGGTAAGTTAACAGGAAAAATGATGAAGAAATTAGAGGGACAGAAAATTCTAATCAGACCGTCAGCATTTTGCTGCTAATTGGACATCAGAATGCTGTGAATCAAAGAATGAAGGTGGTAGGCTTTCCTCCTCAAGGACCAAACACTCAACTCTTCCCCAGTTTGGAATATAACCATGCTGCACCAAGAAGGAAAAAAATATATATATATATTAAACTCTGGATTTCTGAATCTAATGGTGACATCATCTTACGTCACTGGGGACAGGAGGAAAACAAATCAATATTATCTCCCCATGCTACTCAAGAACTTCATTCTCTTAGAGAAAATAGCTCAGCTAGAAAAAAAAATGTTCTGACATACTGACAAGCACCTACCAACTAATTAGGTGTAACAATTAGTATAACACAAGCTATTTTAAAATAAGTCATCCACGTTAATGACGTCGGTCAGGAGCTTTCAGAAAGGAACACATCACAGCTATGCAGAGGACCTAAAACTCTGAGATCCTCCCTCACACCTAATGCTTCATTTTATTCACAATATAGAAAATTATGACAATGAATTACTCGTTGCAAACCATGACAACTTCAGGCAGAACTAACTGCTGCACCTCATTCTCTCACAATTATTAGCTAATTCTGATCCCTGTGACTCTGTTTAATAGTACGTACCACCCAGTGGTGTTAATATTCAGAACTCACCTGACATCATCTGTTCCAGCCTGTGGATCAGTGACTTTTTACCACATTCAATGTCAGGACTTGGGTAATCCAACACCCGCCTGCACCAAACTAATGGGCTGACACATTTTTGCATTGGAGTCAGTCTCTTCTTTGGAGACGTGTGTAACCTGAAAAGAAGAAAAACATTATGAAGACAAACAAAATGTGGATAAATCAGGCATGTAAAAAATACCACGCACTAGGCTATTTCTATTCTTATACTATGCATACAGTACAAACCCTAAATATAAAGAAAGCACAAGTTTTAAATTTAAATTAATGATTTTGGATAGTCTAATACTGATAACGTGGTTATCTAAGGATTTCTGTCAAAAGTTGATGCCTATATTGTTATGCCTTCATAAACCAACTGGTATGCCAAACAAACCCCGATATATGGACAATTTCACTGTTACATAGCCATACAACTGATATATCTGTTACATACAATATAAGTACAGCTGATACTTCATTTAAGCAACATTCACCTTAAAGAAAAAAATGAAGAATCATGCAATATGCAACTACAGTTTTCCCAATTGCAAAGAAATTGTAAGCAATAACTGCCTTAAGTGCTGAAGTACACAGGACACATCTCCTAATTTTGTATCCTTGAATGATAAATGTTTTCTTTCTACTTATAACCTGTACCATGGCACCTGATCCGTTAGTTTTCGTTTGCACCCTGAACAAAGAGACTTCTCTGTCCTAAGGAGTACACAGTCAAGCATTAAAAACAAGGAAGAAGAGATAATGCGTGAAGGGACTAAAGGGAAACAAAGGGACCATATCGTTCTGGAGGACGTGCTGAAAGGCCTTTGCCCATTAGCACTCCCATTTATTTATTCTAAATTCAGTATTTCATAACTGAAGAAACAAGCATTCCATTTTAAAGGCTCTAAAGCTCTAGCTAAAAACGTATCACCCCTCAACAAACATTTTAAAGGCAAAACCATATTCAATCACTCACTCAAAATAAGGACACTTAAGCCTTATCTTGGGAACAAAAACAAATCTGGAAATTTGTTTCAGCAAAAGACAAAGTAAACTGCAAGATCTACAGCACTAACCAGACCACTTGCATTTGCAGAGATGGTTAAACGTGTGTCTCTTCTAGGAGCACCTAGAGACAGACCTCCTATTCCAGTAGCTTAGGAACATTTGAGAATCATTTGAGTCAGCATGCTCGCATACAAAACAGCAGAAATTCCTGTTTCCTTGATGCCAATGACATCAGAAGTTATTTTTCCATAGCCCTATTAGAAGATTATTAACTAGTCCTTCATCTGTAATTCTAGAACTTGATATATTTTTTTTTTTAATTACTGCCCTTACTGTCTTGGCAAAGTCTGTATCAGAACGGCCGCTTCTTACACAAGCTTCCCAAGAGGTGTCTTTAAAAATCACCATGAACATCATGAGCCTCCCATGCAGAACACGAATCACTTTGTTCACAGTACGCTCTAACACATTCTTCCCTCAAACACTGAAACTAAAAGGCTGCATCTACAAATGCAGGAGAGGATTTATTCTCACCTGTCAGGTTTTCATACAAAATCAAAGCGTTTTTAACAGTCCAATAGCCACTGCTCCATGCAACAGCACACGTGGCTTACACTCTCCCCAATGTTATGCTGGTCAGTAAAAGTGCTTTTGCAGAGATCCTTACAAGCACTCTGCCCACAAGAGAAGCTAAGAGCCCATCACACATTTACATCCTTGAAGATTCCTGGAAAGAACAGGATCTGCTTGATTTTCATAGTTCTATTGCAACAATTATACTAATTGCTGTACTTAATGCAATTACCTGCATATAGACAAAGTCAACGTTTAACACTTAACAGCACTCAAACGCCTTTTATTCACTTTTTAGCATCTCATGTACTCTTTTCCATCCTGAGGTAGGGTTACACAATACAAAAGAGTCAAAGGCAGCCAAGGCAACCTTGGTGCTGAGCAAGGAGACTCCCAGCTCCCTGGCAGCTGGCATGTGTTTGAGAAGTTCCATGCACATTTGAAGTGTTTACAGTAACACCCAACACCATGGGCAAGAAGCGCACGTTCTCTTTTTATAGATGCACATGGATCTCGAACAACCTTACAAGACTAATTACAAAGACAAAAGTGATCATTTTCTGCAATTTCCAACTGTTGCATTTGTTTGACAAGCAGTTTATTTACTGATACAATCCAGGCTCACACAGTTCCTATTTTTGCACTCACCCTCTAACCAAACCCATACTGCAGATTTCCCACCTATTTCCAGCCAGTTGCTTTTCCTTTGTTTCATTCTACATTTAAAAAAAAAAACAGAACTGTAGAATGTAAAATGTATACTGATGAAACTGATGCAACTCTTGCTTTGCTTAATTCAAGTTTAAAAAATAAAGACCAAGAGCGGGGTGAAGCACTGGAGCAATGCTTCTACTTCTTCCTCTCCTCTCAGTAGCAGAAAGGGAAAAAGGAGCAGACAGGACACTATCGAATTAAAATAAGGATGTAGATACAACCTCACAGTGCTCTTATTTGTCCAGTTCTGTTCCAGATCTTTGTCCAGTTGCTGTAGGACTCTAAAGGCACAGGTCCTCTCTAGTGGAAGAGCTTCCCAGAAAAGACTTCTTTCCATCCATGACCATTTACACATTCAACAGCAAAATAACTCCGCTGAATGGCAGCACAGCCACATTAAGACTGAAGATTACCAATGACTTCATACATCTTTAAACACCATTAAATCACCTTCTAAAAACAGGAAATGGAACATGTTTGAGGAAGCAGGCAATTTACAGTTACCACCCAGACTTCAAATATTAACACATCAGAAAAACTACACTCCAACTGATCCACAAGAAAGCAAAGACTCAGCTACAGCTTAGTGACACAAGATCAAGTAAATGAAAACAGTACATGAAAAGAAACTTGGGAGCACCGACCTATTTTCTAACAGCTTTAAGAAGCTCAGGCACATGACTGTGCTGCACAGGAACATTTCCTTCCTCCAGCTGTCACTAGCTGGAGTGACAGAGCATTCTCAGAGCAGTGCCAGCCTGAAATGTAAAGCAGTCAGGGGCTCCGCTGATTAGTTCTAGGAAGACGCAGCACAAAAAGGGAAAGGCTTTTGCACAGGGACAATCGTCACTAGGCACTCGTAGGACAATGCCAGCCTAATATGGTGAGTTGTAGCATGTTGCACTCGGGCACAGCTGAGCTGGGAAAAGCTTTGAAGTAAGAAGACATGGAGGAAGGAATGGAATTTTGCCGTAAGGATTATCTCACCTGATGAGCACACCTCCCACCACATTAAGATACAAGTGGCTGGTTGCCACGAGCAAGAAGCCAGAAGCCAAGATTCCAACTAGGAAGAAAGGAGGAGTCTTTGTACTAGAACTCTTTTAGAGTTGAAGCGCATGAGAAAAACATGCAGATGAATAACAAGGTGAAGATCCAATTAAATGGAATACACCAAGTGCAAGAAACTTGACTTAAAGCTTACTTATTTTAGTCATGTTAAGCAAAAACCGGTACAAGAGAGAATGAAACAAGGGAATGGATAAAGCGTGTTCCAGACAAAAGCAGGATGAAGAAAGCTACTTGATGCGAAAGAAAAATAGATAAGTGGGTACAGATCAGTAAGAAATTCCCCTAAAATATCCAGGAAAAAGCTCATGAGAAAGAGCTACTAAAAGTAAATAAATCTGACAAGAATACAGGGCAGTCTGGGAAACACCGTTCTGGGCACAGCAGTATGAATCTAAACTAGAGAAGCTTCAGAACTTTACCAACACCTACAAGGAGGCAGAAATGTGGGTCACGCCAAAATAAGATGTGATTATGAGGTAAATTTGGGGAATACCATTAAGACAGTAAAGGAAATCTGTGTCAAAGCTTTCATGATAACCAAATATGAACCATATTTAAAAGCCAGGAATATCACACAAGAAATTAAAAATGGGAAAAGGTTTCTTTTCTTTCTGCAGTCCTGGAGCATCCATTCCACAGTCAGAAAGATATCTCAAAGACACTGATCTTTGATGTTATGAGTTATTACACCTCAATAACTAATAACTTGCATAACCCTTAGTCAACTTAACATGCTGCTTTCCACATCTTTCTCATAGTTGGAGGAGCTGTTATCAGAATTTGGTTTAAAAAGATAAACTTTACATCTGATTTATACTTCACCTGCCAGTATCACCTTCTCTTTTACTTAAAGCCACAAGCCAGGAGCTGATCAGAACCTGTCCAGGGTCCAAGAGGGCAAGGCAACATTAACACAAGGCGACTTTAGCAGTTGAGCAGAAAACACTGCAATGTAATTCCACCAGTGGGATTTCGTTCAGGTGCAGCTCTGGACTGAAACACACCACATTTTACTGGTTCACCACAGCAAACTTCAGGGTGTTCAGCAGATATCAAGCAATTAGATGCAAGATGATCACTACACATGACAATCATATTTTTATCCTCTATCTCTCAAAGCAGTAACTTAGCCAGCTAGCTGGAACAGATGACCAGATCAGAAATGTAAACTATTAAAAATAGGTATTACTTTAACAGAAATAGCTGCTGAATGATGGTGTGTATAGCAAGAAAAGCATTCACTTTCCATTTCAACTAAACAGAATACTTAACTAATACACTGAAAATATCAGTTTTCACTATTAACATAAGCAATCCACCAGTAACTTCACTTTATGCCTTCTGTCTGAAAACAAACTCAGTCATCCATGAGCTATCCCTCAGCCATAATGGTGGGCTTTACATGGGAGTGACAGGCAAACACTGGGATGGGCAGGGTAACTTCTAAAGCAACACCACATGTAGAGGATGCAACTGCTCAGAAGTTCACTGTGCAGTGTGCATAAAAGAGACACACAGCAACCTCTATACAGTGCAGTTTGTGCACATCAGAGTAAGTTCTGAAGAAAAATCTCTATGCTTCGCTCTCATATTTAAAAGAAAGCTTTTCAGAAAGCTTAGGAAAGTGTGCAACAAGTTACTGCAAAGTAAGTGACAATGTGGATCCACAGGACGTTAACTCCAGTAATTGCCCACATGTACATACTTATCTTGCAATAAATGAGACAAGTTGCTTTTTAAAAGCAGCATAGCAAACCACCTTGCACACTGTTACCAAGTCATCTTCAGCATGATATACACCCACGCCCAACCTTACCCAGCAAGTGAGGCAAGCAGCTGTATGCTGTGTCCTGTTCCTATGAACAGAGCAGGCCTGAACCGAACTCTTCAGAGGCCTAGCTGAAGTGCAGTGCTGTGTGCACACGCATACATGCCTAAGGAGAACCTTCGGTTCTGTATCAGAAAGTCTGACCACCGAGACAAGGATTCAGAAGCACTAATCTCACATGAACACTGAAGGTAAAATAAGGCAGTTTTATCAGTTTGTTATTACAAGGCCGTAGACAATTTCATAATGGGGTATGTGAATACAAGGACTGAAAAGTGTCCACATTACACAAAGTTGAAAAAAAGACAAGAGATAACCAGCAGCCTTCACCAGCTATCTCTCACAGCCAGGTCCTCCTGAAATCAACAGCTAAGACAGATCTATACTTCTCCATGCAGACAAACCAACAGACAAATTAACCTTTTAATCATAAGCTGTGATTTAAATTTAGTTTGTTTCCATCTGAGGTTTCCCCAGTTGGTAATTGGTCATTGATCTATATTGGTGTAATCCCGCAGTTTAAACGGGCTTTCAGGTTTAACAGCAGTGATCCAAATCCATTTGAACCTTGAAGAGTTCACACGAGGTTTAACTGAGTACATTCACCCTTTTCAGTCGGTTCAATTACTTGAATGTCCTTGCATAAGCAAGGCCTTATGAGCAGGATCTTCATGAAGCAGTTCAAGAGAAATCTACTTACATCATCCCTGCTATTTTTTCACAGCATCATTCCTGTTTGATTGATCCACTGAACGTTTTCTACTTCATTTAGAGCAATAGCTTCCATTTATCAAATGCGTAAAGACTTCCCACCCTTGTAAGAAAATATGTTTTAAATCTGTTCAGTGTCTCAACAGTTGAATTAAGTGTCGTTCAGAAATTGCAGGAGTTCAATTTCCATTTTTATAAAATAATCTAGAAAAAGAAAATGTCACGAGCCAACTTTTCATCTAGCTAAACCACACTTACCATTAAGTGCATATTAAATCATAGCATGAAAGGACATATTGATATTTTTTGATGAGTGCTACAAGTAAATTTTTAAAACGACTCTTCTCCAGTTGTATGTTTTTATCTCTCAGTCACGGAGAATGAAATTTGATATGGTAGTCACTATAATAGGAAAGGAACAAAAACTTACACCCTGTTGTCTTTTGAGGACTCAAATTTGCATGGGAACATGACTGAAGTCACAACAACAGGCAGCACAACGTGCCAAACACCTGCCACCAGCAAGTGCAGTGCTGAGTGAGTTGTGCCGCCTGCACACGTGTGTCCAGAAGTGCATAAACAAAAACACACAGCATTTATGTTGTCACTGTAAGCTGTGACATTAACTTTCACTGAAGAGGTTCATCAACTTGTCCGCAATTTAAGATTAACATAAAACTAGTAACACCTATTGCCACTAGAAAATATCACACTCAAAACATTTGCCATATTACTGCAAATTTATTGTGTGAATTCACAATGTTCTATTTCCCCAATGTCCTCTCAACCAGTAGATTACGGGGCGTAAGCTGGGAAATAAGAGCAGCTACTTTGCACAGACTCATCCTCTGGAAGATGATGCCTTGTTTTAATTTAGTAAGCTTGTGTTGGATCAGAATAAACTTATGTTCTCATACTTCTCTGTGGCTCAGGCTGGATGTCAAGCAAATGACTCCTGTGAGGCAATACACACATTGTATCCTCCCTGAGCAACTGAAATGATTTCATGCATGGGCAATGTTTAAGTGCTGTTAATGGTGTCAGTTACTCAAATACTTTTTATTATTATTATTATTTTTATTATTATTTTTTACAATCTACTTGTCTGAGCATTAGTCCTTTAAAAATACTTCCATTAGTCCTAGAAAAATACTTCTGCAGCTGAGCTTGAAAAGCAACTCTGACTCAAATCAAAGTGTTTCTGTTACACTTATCCTCTCAGAACACATTTTTCTTGTGTTTCTGCTAATGCTATGCTCCTCCCCACTGCCTCTCCTGTAACTCCTACACTGCTCTTCTCAAGTGGTGTCACGGGAAACTTCAGGCAGCTGCCGAACAGCATGACACTAAGAGAGGTTTGAAACCTCCCTGGCAGCTAGCAGAAGCTCATCTAAGTGCAATAAGAACAAGATAACAACCTCCAGCTGATGTTTCTGCCGGAGCAGCAGGCAAACCGTCCATTTAAACAGAGAGGGACTGCCTATAGTAAAATGTGGTCCTGCATCGTAGCATGATAGAATTGCAGGGGTTGCAAGGGACCCCGGGGATCACCCAGCCCAACTCTCAGCTAACACAGGCTCCCTACAGCAGGTTGCACGGGACAGCCAGCAACAAGTGAAAACGCGCAGCGCCGCGTTTCTGAGACAGAGCGCGTTACATTTACTGCCTTTACAGCTGAAAGAAATTCAGGTCAGGCGCACATTTAAAGAAGCACAGCAGCAGCTGTGGGCCGGTTCTGCGCTGCCTCACAGAACGCCTCCGCACCGCCTCAGTACAGCACGCTGCATCCGCAGCACAGCCGGAGCCGGTTCCTGATGTCGAGCCGTCACCGCGGCCGAACAAAAGCACGGGGCTGCGGGCCTCGGCGGGGCAAGTGCCACGCGCGAAACCCCCGCAGCCCGCGCCTTAGGGCGAGGCCTCCCCGCGCTACTCCCAGCTGAGGGCCCCGGGCCGAGGCCGGGCCTCTGGCTGCTCCCCGCCTCCCTCTCGTACTCACCAGCTGGCCTCGTCCTCCTCGCAGCACGCCAGGCGCTCCAGCTCGTCGGGCCGGAGAGGCGCCGCGTCGTCCGGCGGGCCGTCGCTCTCGCCGCCGCCGGATTCCTCGGGGGGTGGCCGCCGCGCCGCGGCCCTGGGGCTGAGGCAGCGGCCGTCGGACGGAGAGGCGGCGGCGGGGGGCGAAGGGGAGGCCCCGCCGCCGAGGAGGCGCTTGGGGCTGGCGGGGGCGGCGGGCAGAGCGCCGTGGCGACTGCGAAGCTGCTCGTTCTGCTTCTCCAGCTTCTTCACCAGCTCCTGCAGCTTCCGCACCTCCGCGTCCGCGTTCACGCTCGAGCCGACGTCCTCCATGGCGCCTGCCGGCCGCGGAGCGGTCTGCGCGATGAAGGCCGGCCGCGCCGCCCCGTCTACATGGCCGGGCGGCCCGCGGCACGAGAGGGTGGCGGCGGGGCGGGGCGGGGCGGGTGCTGCCGCCTCCTCAGCGGCGCCGGCGGGCGGCGGACGGCTCGCGTCCGGCCGCCATCTTGCTGCCTCCTCAGCCCGCCCGAGCCACGACGTCACTCGCGTAACCTGGAAGTGCCCCGCGTCGGAGCCGGGCGGGTGTTGGCAGGCTGCGCCCCGTGCTGCCTTACCGCCCTCTGGTGCCCTGTGGAGGCTGGGACCTGCGGGCGGCCGTCGTGCTGAGGGAGGGAAGAAGGGAGCGGGGGAGCTGTTGCTGGGGTGGTTATTAGACTGCGGAGGAGCTTTGGCCTGGGAACAGGGACCTTTACTCATCGGTGCCGCATTGATAGCAGCCCTTGGAGGATTGCTCTGTGCGTTGGTTTGTAAATCTAACTCCTCTGCACCGTTTGGTACCAATTGCCTTAATGAAATCCAGGTAAGTTTTACGAGCACAGCTGGCTTTGTTAGTAGGGCTTGCAGGCCTCTGTAAGGCAAGAAAAATGATAAGGTTTGTGATAATAAGGACATTTGGTGTCGTGATGACACTGCTGGCAATTCAGTGGTTGGTGAGTGTAAAAGTGGTCTTAACTTCAATGGAGACATTCATTCTAATTGAGAGCATTAATACAGCTTCCTTCTTTTCTTACTCTCAGTCCAGCTGTTGGTGGCAGGACAAAGAGTCACGCTGTTATAATAGTTTGGTCTTTTCTGTCCTGCAGACAATGTGCTGGAAGAGCTGGGCAGGCAGCATTAGGAAGGATCGGGGTCATTGAGCCTTGGGCTCCTTGGGACTGCCCAGTAGGACTGTTAATCCTGCTGCTTTTGGGGCCTCTTCTCTGATACAATGGCACAGCTATGGGTCTGAGAGCTGCTGGTATCCTGCATCTCCCCTCCACCCGTCCTCTCTGCAGTCTCTACCCCCAGGGTTCCTGCCCCACCTTATCATCCCCTGCTGACATTGCTTTGCTTCCAGCAGCACCAGCAACTATTCCTCTCAGCAAGATGAACACTGCAAAAAGACGTGTGGGTAGTGGGGAGGCAAGTGAGGAGAGGAAAGGTGTTGCTGAATCATCTGCTATTTTTCCAAAGTGTAAAGGCAACTGAGATGAACAAAGGGAGTTGCTGGTTAATAGTCACCATAGTCAGTGGTTGAATAGCAAGGACTGTGATCCTGCTTTCTCATCATCTTGTGCAGAGGGTTTCCCTGGTCATGTTTTGGGAGGGGAAGTGAGGACCAGGAGCTGATAATGGGCCGCGAGCTTCTCATCAGATTCGAAGCTTGCTCTGGGCAGATGTGACAGGCCACACCTAAGCTGAAGCCTCTGGCTGACTATGCAGAATAGTTACAATTGGTAGTAATGCCACAAAAAATGAAATCTTTCCACTCTGTCGCAAGAGCAAGTGAAGTTTGTCTGCCTGTGAAATCAGATGTTGTAGATCTTTTAAGTTTTTTTTCTGAGCAGGTTGAGTCTGTGCTGTCTATTTCACATGTGTGGAGAGGAAAGGGAAAATCAGTGTTTCAGAGTCTCATGGACTCTGAAAGCCCCTCTGTGCGCAGCCAGTACGGTCAGCATTATGTGCTGTTGGAACAGGCAATAGCAAAGCTGAAGGGCAATAGATCTCTACCTGTGTGTGTAACGTAGGATACGTGTGAGCAGAAGAAATGGGGAGCAATCCCTCCAAAGCACAAGAAGCCTGGGCAAGGCTTGTATGTCACTCAAGTAATGCAATTTGTCTCTCTCTGACAAGTGGTTCCTGAGAAAAAGACCTCCAGGAGCTTTGTTTTGGTGCCCTCTGAGCTTCCTAGCATGGACAACTCTATTTTTTATTTTTATTTTATACAGTTGTAATTTGCTAATTTATTTCTAGTGAAAATGTTAAATTCTGACTTCCATACCTTTATTTTAATTGTCACCTGAAATAACAAAAGAATCCTCAAAGGGAGTAGATAAAGACGGACAGTTGCGCAGTGGGAAGTTAACATTTATAGCAAATATTTAACTTCAAGCCTGGAAAACTGGATTGCTTTTTAAGCAGATTTGTTTAGTCTCCTGAGGAAGATTGTTGCCTGCCAAAGGAGGTGTTCAGCAGGCCCACACACACTCTTGCTAGGTGGTGTTTAGATAAACCTTTGACATAAAAGGAATCATTTGTCATTACAGTATCTCATGGCATGCACACACATTGCGTATGTGGTGGAATTAGTGTCTGTCTCTTTCAAAGCTAGTTTCAAAACCCTAACTGAAAGAACCAACATTGCAACTTTAATTATCTATAAAAGACGTCTCAGTACATCTGGTCTCCTCAGTGGTGAGAAAATGTATTTAATCCATTGGCTTAGACTTAGGTTACCTGGAAGCCTAACTATGCTTTAGAAACTGTGAGCATTAGTGAATTTTTCGAAGACATCTGTGGGCAGAAGAGCCTTTACAAATCTTTTTGCAAGCAGATGGTCTGCTGTATTTTACTACTCATACCTCTTAGTGTGAAAGAAGGAGTACATCCATGCACCGTTCTTCCTATGCTGTTACAAGCCTTTCTGGAGGGCAGCAAGGTTCCAGCTGAGTTCTGCCATTGAGATACACTTATCTGGGGTATTCTCAAGCAGAGTTGACGTGAATTAACAGGCTTCTTTTTTATGCACAGAAAAGTTGTTTAAACCTGCTTTTATCCTCCAAATCTGGAATGACAACAACTCTAGGGTACTGCACAGGTTTTCTAATGAGGCTAGTGTTTATGGCATGCCATGTGGCTAGAAAATGTGGGACTAAATAATCTAATTTAACCTTTAATTTATATTACTAATTCAGAATGATGACTCTTTAAAGATTATCATCAGAGTTGAGCACTGTAATAAAAGTCCCATATCACCACAGGAACCCCAAATGAGATCAGTTCACCTGAGGTTCATCATTGCAGTATTGGAGTTCCTTCTACAGGCTTAGAATCTTTTCTCCTTGAAATTTTAGCATAATCTGCATATAATATTCATTAAAAAATGTAAATTCAGCTTCATCGTGGAGTTAGCTACTTGTATTTCGTGCTTATTGATCACTTGGAAATCATAGCTTTTTAGAAATCCACTGAGCTCAGCTTGGTTAAGGTGCTGGGATGGGAGTGAGGTGACTCAACACTGGGAAAGGACTTGCTGTTGTCAAGAAGATCCATGACTTATCTTCATTTACAGATGACAGTAATTTTAGGCATGTGGGCATCACTGAGTGAAGTCTTACATGTCTCCACCCATATGAAGCAATCTTCTGTAAAACCGTTCCAAAAAGTTTCTGAGTGTACTGAGAACTCTCTCGATATTCCTCTGTTAGTGAGCCAGCTCCACAAGGAAAAATAGCTCACTGCACTCAAGGGACTCCGAAAGCAGTTTCCCCTCTGCAATTTTTAGCAGGAAAAAGAGCCGAGTCTTTAGTGACAAGTGAACAATTTCCAGATATGTGACAAGTTTGAAATGCTGTATTTCCACACGTGATGAAATGCTGTTATGTTTTGAATATCTTATCCATATTTTCATGACAATTTATGACAGAGAGGATAGAGCCATGCAAAACAAAATTTGTAGTTAAGTTATGTTCATGCTTCATTGATTCATTTCTGCCTTGTATTTAGCTAGGCCGGACTCCTGGCCGGAGACAATATGCTGACACTGATAAAAGCAATTAAGGTTTATGGCCAAGAAAGGCATGATGCTATCAGTTCTAAATGTTGCTGGGAACGCTGCACACAGACAGGAAAATTTCCATTAAACCTGGGATACCGCCCTCGTGCTTGAGCTTGGAGGAACAGTGACGACACTTTATTTGCCGAAGGATTTATGGCATCGTTGTTGAAACCTGCACCGGAATTTAGTATCTCTTCTCCCTCCTGTCGGGCTGCCGTTTCGCCTCGGCGCAGTTCGGAAGGCCGCCGCCGCCACCTAGTGACAGCCCTGTACGTAGTGGCAGCCCCTGCACCGGTGGCACAGGGACCTGGTGGGGGGGCGGCGATGCACTGCTCTGGTCCCCGCACGCAGTGTGTGAGCACCTGGAGAAGACCTCTGCTCCTTCCTCGCCTGTTTGGAGGATGCGCGAATGGAAATCTTCCGCTCTAACACACAGTGGTAAAACAGTATCCAAAGCCTAGGATTGAACAAAGCACTTCTGAGATGGGACAAGAGGTAACGACCATACATTGCACCAGGGGAGGTTCATGTTGGATATTGGGAAGCATTTATTCTCAGAAGGAGTGATGAGGCGTTGGAACGGACTGCCCATGGAGGTGGTGGAGTCACTGTCTCTAGAGGCATTCGGAGAACATGCAGGAGTGGCACTGAGATGTGGTTTAATGGGCATGGGTGAATGGCTGGACTGGATTTGTTTACGGGTCTTTTCCAAATGTAATGTGCAAAGAAAGCCTAAAAGGAATTGAAACAAAAAAAGTAAAAGTCTTTACAGGCAGAAGCATGTGGGAGAGGTGAAAATATAAAAAATCCAGCTTAGAGAACAAGAAATTTAATCAAATAATAAAAGTTGTCTTGGTCATATAAACAAAAATTAAGATAAACAGATGCCTTACATAATGTAAGTGCTGGCATTAAAATGAATCTAGGCACTGCCCCAAACTATTTACCTCAGCTTTGGTAATGATAATGGCAGTGTACACAGAAGCAAAATCAAAGTAGTGAATGTGAATGGGTGTGGAAACACGTTATCACAGGCAGGGTGAAAGCAAAGTGCAAAGAGCTCAGCTCTTTTGGAGGCTCAGAAACAGATAATAAAGCTCTTCATATGAGTTTTGATGCATTTACTAAAACAGATGTAATGCCATGTGAAAAAACATTAGATAATGAAGTAAGTTTCTTTTTCCTAAGGAAAAAAGGGATCCTTAAAAATATGTTATTTTATTACATACAAGGATTAAATATTGTATGAAA